TAGCATAAATTAACATGGATAATCATAAAGATAGAAGAACATGGAAGTTGGATGAGAAGAATGAGTTTTCGGTGAAGTCCTATTACAATTTTATATCCAAAGGGGACAATGGGAATAATGTGACAGTTCTATTTAGACAAATCTAAAAAATTACAGCTCCCCCTAAAATGGTTTTCTTTGCTTGGGAAATCTCAAGAGGTAGTATTTTGACTATTGATATGTTAAAGAGGCGGGGCAACTGTCTTGTTAATCAATGTTACTTATGCAAGGCTGATGAGGAAACATGTGACCACATTTTATTATTTTTTTCCGGTTACTCATAACTTATGGATGTCAGTATTCGGGATGATGGGGGTGAGACGGGTTAAGGTGGGTAATGTAAGTAAAGAATTGTGGACTTGAACAAACTTTTGTAAAAAGGAAAAACATTTATTTTTTATTTCACTTACCATTTTTTGGGTTGAGTGGAAGAAAAGGAATGTTAGAGTTTTTGAAGGAGTTGCAACGGACTTTGTAAACATTAAAAATAGATGGTTTCATACTTTTGTCTCTATTTTGTTGGATCATGATATATTAGATTGGGAAGATTTGGGGTGCGTTATTGACCATCTATTCGACATGTAACTTCTATGTAATAAGGTGGTACTCCCTTATTACCTTTGTGAATAATAAAACTTTCATTTTTTATTTCAAAAAAAAATGTTAAAGATCTAAGGAACTTGAAATATTTGCTCTGGATGGAGACCACAAGGTCTCAGTCAAGAATTTTGTTTTCACAAAAAAAATATGTTCTTGAGTTACTCAAAGAAACAAGGATGTAGAGTTGTAACTACAGATACTCCAATGGAAGCAATTACTAAAGGAAAGAGTTAAGAAAACAGTTTTCTAGTTGACAAAGAAAGATACAAAAGTTAGTCGAAAAACTTTTCTATGTATCACATACACAACCAAATATAGACTTTGCTGTAATTGTGGCTAGTCCATTTACGAATACGCCCACTGAAGAATATATGGATCAGCTGTATCTCATTATGAGATACTTGAAGAAAATTTCTAGAGAAGGTTTTCGCTTCAATAAGACCAAAAATAGGAATATGGACGTGTTCATTGATATAGATTGGGTAGGGTTCAGTACTAATTGAAAATCCACATTAGGATACAGTACTTATGTGGGCAGTAATTTGGTTAATTGTTGAAGCAAACAGCAGAAAGTTGTCGCTTGGAGTAGTGAGAAGCAGAGCTCAGACCTATGGTCTAAGGGATATGTGAAGGAATGTGGCTACAACACTTACTAAACGAACTCAAAGTTCAAACAAGTGATATCATTATAGCCAAGACCTGTTCATCATGACAAGACAAAACATGTGAAAATAGATAGGCACTTCATCAAGGAGAAGATAGAAGAGGGTGCAATTAACATCTCCTACATTCTGGCTAATCAAGAAAGAGCACGTATTCTAACTAAGGTGCTACCAAAGGCAGAATTTGAAGATATGAGGTCCAAGCTACGATTACTCAAAATTTACAGTCCATCTTGAGGGGAAGCGTAAAAAACAGAGCAATCGTAGCTACACAGTTATATCATAAACATTTTACTTCCAAATTTAGAAGATTTGGCACCAAGGTAGACCAGATCTCTTTGATGCGATCTGTGACTTATTCTGAAAAATTCTCTCACTAATTAGGAATATTCTTTTGTGTAACTATAGTAACTGGCTTTGTATTATAAATATAATCATTGTATCATTATCAAAAACAATTTAAAAAACAGAATTTTCATTCTTTAATAACCATATATTTGATCCTTCTCAATATACACTCAATTCAGTTTCTCTCTAAAATTTGACACAAATAAATGAATAACTTAGGAGAAAAATTATGATATTAATTAATATAATATTAACCTAAAATTCCTACAGTGCATAACGTGGCTAAAAGATATCCAAATAACTTACGTTGGATTTTCTGGGGACTGATATTTTTGACTGCCCATAGAAATATCCAATACCCCCTAACATGTTGCTGATAGCAGTCTTGCCGACATTCACAGAATCGGAATTAAGCTGAAAACAGAATGATATGATTTAAGTTACTCTTTTTCTTTTTAATGAGAATAAAGAACCAGCAATATAAAGAAAGGGCTTCAAAAGAAAAAAGAAAGGTAAAAACCACCATTACTAATATCATCTGGAGGAAGAATGTAAGAGAATTCTATGATTTAAACACTCATATCAGTCTTAAAGTTAAATCATTCAAAAACATATTCAACTTAGTAGACAGGTTTGCTCAGTCATCAACTTCAAAAATTCAAATAAACTAATATTTTGAAGTTCATTATTTAAAATAATAAAAGCCAATCCTTCATTTTTTGGTAAAATTTTCTCTGCTATATATAACATTGCAATCAAGACATGCTATATAATCATTTTCCTATCCCATATCAATGTGTGTCTATTGAGAGAATTTATATTAGTAATATCACTATATTGAAACGTGCTTTTCATTATCTAAGAAATTGTTAATGACTTGATATAATAAATGCAGTTAGGTTCCAAAGATCAATACCTTGTCAGCAAGGCCAAAGCACTTGTCAAATTTAGTGTCAAATTCTCTGTGTTTCTTTTCCAGTTGGCTGGTCAGTGAGGTACCTAGATAGTATACAGTAAAATAAACAAAATGTTACCAGGAAATGAAAGATTCAGCCAGAAATTACAACTTCATATGTATAGTATTATATAACAAGCAATCCGCA